CCCATTTGGGGCAGTGACCACCACTTTTGGGGCAGTGACCACCACTTTTGGGGCAGTGACCACCACTTTTGGGGCAGTGACCACCACCTTTGGGGCAGTGACCACCACTTTTGGGGCAGTGACCACCACATTTAGGGCAGTGACCACAACATTTGGGGCCACCTTTGGGATGGTGGCCACAATTTCTGGGGCGATGACCACCACATTTAGGGCAGTGACCCAACATTTGGGGCAGTGACCACCACATTTAGGGCAGTGACCACAACATTTGGGGCAGTGACCATCACCTTTGGGGCAGTGACCACAACATTTGGGGCCACCTTTGGGATGGTGGCCACAATTCCTGGGGGGTCTCCAGGGCCGTTCCCTGCTCTCATCTGCCCCTCAGACCCTCTCCCTGCGACGTTTTCCCCCTGAGCACCCCCTTTGGGGTGGTGGCCACAACTTTTGGGGTGGTGGCCACAACCTATGGGGTGGTGGCCACAGTTCCTGGGGGTTCCTGAGGGGTCTCCACGACCGTTCCCTTCTCTCATCTGCCCCACAGACCCTCTCCCTGCGACGTTTTCCCCCCGAGCACCCCCTTTGGGGTGGTGGCCACAACCTTTGGGGTGGTGACCACAACCTATGGGGTGGTGGCCACAACCTTTGGGGTGGTGGCCACAATTCCTGGAGGTTCCTGGGGGTGGTGGCCACAATTCCTGAGGGGTTCCCGAGGGGTCTCCACGGCCATTCCCTTCTCTCACCTGCCCTGGAGACCCTTCCCGTGACGTTCTCCCCCGAGCACCCGAGGCAATTCTGGGCATTCACCCCAATTCCTGGGGGTCCCTGGAGGGTGGCCACAATTCCTGGGGGGTTCCTGAGGGATCTCCATGGTCATTCCCTTCTCTCATCTGCCCCTCAGACCCTCTCCCCGCGACGTTTTCCCCCCGAGCACCCCCTTTGGGGTGGTGGCCACAACCTTTGGGGTGGTGGCCATAATTCCTGGAGGTTCCTGGGGGGTGGCCACAATTCCTGGGGGCTCCCGAGGGGTCTCCACGGCCGTTCCCTGCTCTCATCTGCCCCTCAGACCCTCTCCCTGTGACGTTTTCCCCCCGAGCACCCCCTTTGGAGTGGTGGCCACAACCTTTGAGGTGGTGGCCACAATTCCTGGGGGTCCCTGGAGGGTGGCCACAATTCCTGGGGGGTTCCTGAGGGATCTCCATGGTCATTCCCTTCTCTCAGCTGCCCCACAGACCCTCTCCCTGCGACGTTTTCCCCCTGAGCACCCCCTTTGGGGTGGTGGCCACAACCTTTGGGGTGGTGGCCACAATTCCTGGAGGTTCCTGGGGGGTGGCCACAATTCCTGGGGGGCTCCCGAGGGGTCTCCAGGGCCGTTCCCTGCTCTCATCTGCCCCACAGACCCTCTCCCTGCGACGTTTTCCCCCCGAGCACCCCTTTTGGGGTGGTGGCCACAACCTTTGGGGTGGTGGCCACAATTCCTGGGGGTCCCTGGAGGGTGGCCACAATTCCTGGGGGGTTCCCGAGGGGTCTCCAGGGCCGTTCCCTTCTCTCATCTGCCCCTCAGACCCTCTCCCCGCGACGTTTTCCCCCCGAGCCCCCCCTTTGGGGTGGTGGCCACAACCTATGGGGTGGTGGCCACAATTTCTGGGGGCTCCCGAGGGGTCTCCACGGCCGTTCCCTTCTCTCATCTGCCCCTCAGACCCTCTCCCCGTGACATTTTCCCACCCCGACCCCCCTCCAGCTCGTCCCCGGGAGCCCCCTCAGGGGCACAGCTTGATGTAGGTGACGGTGGAGCAGACGGAGAAGAGCGGGAACACCCTCTCCCTGAAGGCCACGTGGAAGGTGAAGATGTGCTCCATGCTCTCGGCGTCGTAGAACGACACCTCCTCGCCCTCGTAGTCCAGGTAGACCCGGACCCTGCCCAGCTTCCTGCCGGGGCTCAGCGGCGTCCGCTGCGGGGACGTCACGGCCCAGTAGCGGCCCCCGTTCTGCTGCACGGCCCAGATCCCTTCCTCGGGGGAGAACTGGGTCAGGCCCTTCCTCCGCACCGACTCCAGGGCCACCCCGAAGGCCCAGCCGTCCGAGGGCCCCACCTCCACCTCCCAGTAGTGCCGCCCCGAGCGGAAGCCGCGCGAGGCGAGGACGCGCGAGTTGGTGTCGAAGCGCTTGGGGTTGTCGGGCAGGTCCTGCTTCCGGCAGCCCATGCGGACGCTCTTGAGGTCGGCCGAGAGGATCAGCAGGTGGTTGGCGGAGTCGGGGTCCAGGGTCAGGTCCTCTGTCGGGGGGGTGGGAGGTCGGGGAGATCGGCATGGGGGGGGGTGGTTGGGCCGACCCCAAACTCGTAAGCGCGTCCTGAGCTCAGTGTTCGCGCCCAAAGATCAATAACCCTGTTCCCGAGCTCAGTGATCGACCCCAAACCTCAGTGTTCGCACCTAAACCCCAGTGATCGACCCCAAACCCCAGTGATCAACCCCAAACCTCAGTGATCGACCCCAAACTTTAATACTCACACCCAAACCTCAATAATCCCTCAGTGATCG